GCCGCTGGCTCCATGCTCTGGTTGGCCTTACTCGCCCTCCTCCTCCTCCTCTGCCAGCGCCGTGCCAGCCAGGACGCCGCAGCTCGCCACAGGTGAGAGGCCAAGGGGTGGGGGACACAGCAGATCCCTGATGTGGTGGGGATTGATGCGCTGACAGCACCTCTTGCCCTGCAGGCTGGTGGCTGGTGACTCGCCATGGCTTGGTGGTCCCTGGAAACCCAGCTGTGCCCCCCGAAATCTCAGCAGCAGCAGCAGCCTCAGCAGCCGGCTCCTGGGCAGTGATGGCAGGGACCCTCACCCCTCCAGTGAGCCCTAGGGGGACTGGAATCCCCTCCCACTGCCACGGGACCCCCACCCCTCCAGTGAGCCCCGTGGGGACTGGAATCCCCTCCCACTGCCATGGGACCCCCACCCCTCCAGTGAGCCCTGTGGGGACTGGAATCCCCTCCCACTGTCATGGGACCCCCACCCCTCCAGTGAACACCAGGGTTGGGACCCCCACCTGCCACTGCCATGGGACCCCCACCCCTCCAGTGAACACCAGGGTTGGGACCCCCACCTGGTGCCACAGAGCCCCCACTCTCTGCCATGGAACCCCCACCAGTACTATGGGACCCCTCCAATCCCATATGATGACACTGGATCCCCACCCAGTTCCATGGAACCCTGACCTGCTGCAACAGGGCCCCCAGCCCAGGCCTAGGACCCCCACAGAGTGCTCTGGGACCAGCAAAGTGTACCCAAGACCCCCGCCCTACGCCAGGGACCCCCAGTGCCATGGGACCCTCACACTGGTGCTCCCCGTTGTCTGTCTGCAGGCAGCGAGGACACACAGACCCAAGGGCAGGGGGGACAGGGGACACATGGGTGCCCTGACCTCTCTTACTCTTCCAGCCCTCTCCTTGGAGCCGCCGAGTCTTGGCCCCCCCACGCCCCCCATCCACAGCGGCCTCCGTGGGGGACAGCCACCCCCCCCTGGGGACACGGGGTGCTGCGCTGGGGGGCACCCCGGGGTGCATTCCTCGCCCAGCACCCCAAACCCAGCACCCTGGGAGCGTGTTCGCAAGAGAGGTGGGTGTGGGGGGCACATGGGGGGACGTGGGGGACACCAGGATGGTGGCCCATGGCTCCGTGTCCCTCGCTCCCCTCGCAGAGCTGCACCAAGTGCACAGCACCCCGCTGCTCATAGCCGGCCCCGGCCACATCCCTGCCACTGGAAGTGGAGGCGAGTGGGGGACGGATTTTGGGCTGGCAGCCAGGCAGCCTCAGCAAAGGGGACACGAGGGTGACAGCAACGCTGCCGTGATGGACAGCAGGGACCCACGGCTGCCGGTCTTCAGCTCTCCAAAACCACATCGGGGCAGCACCTCGCTGGCCTCTGGTGTGAGCACGTCACCGGTGACACCCCCGAGACCACCCCGTGCCTGGCACCCTCCAGTGACACGGTGAGTCTGCGTGTCCCCATCCAGGGGGGTCCCTGCCACCCAACCCTGTGCTGCAAAACCCAGCCTGTGCCTTGCACCTGCAGGTCACCGACCTTCGTGTGCCCCAGGGACACATCTCTGGTCACCAGGCATCCCAGGGACATGGCCCCAGTCACTGAGAGCCCCAGGGGTGTGTCACCGGCCACCAGGAGCCCTAGGGACAGGTCCTTGGTCACTGAGCACCCTAAGGACCTGTTCCTGGACAGCAGGCATCCTAAGGATGTGTCCTCAGTCAGGACCCCCAGGAACATGTCACCAGCCACCAGGCACCACAAGGATCCATCACCAGCAGCCAAGCACCAGAGGGACACAGTCTTGGCCACCAGGCACCCTGAGGACACCTCCGTGGTCACCAGGTGCCCCAGAGACCCATTACCCATAGCCAAGTGCCAGAGGGACATCTCACCGTCCACCAGGCACCCCAAGGACGTGTCCCCAGCCAGCAGGCACCCAAAGGACACATCCCCAGGCATGAGGCTCCCCAAGGAGATGTCACCAAGCACGAGGCTCCCCAAGGAGATGTCACCAAGCATGAGGGTGCCCACGGAGATGTCACCAGCCACTAGGCACTGCAGGGACAAGTTCCTGGCCTCCAGGTATGCCAAGGACCTGTCCCCAGCCAACAAGAACCCCAGGGAGCCATCTCTCATGACCATGCACTCAAGGGACATGTTCCTGTGCAGCAGGTCCCCTGAAAACATGTCACCAGCCTTGAGGCATGCCAACGACACATTGCCAGCCACGGGGCACCCCAGGGACACATCCCCGCTCACCAGGCACCCTGAGGAGATGTCACCAGTCCCCGAGCGCCACAGGGACAAGTTCTTGGACACCAGGTACTCTGAGGACATGTCTCAGGCCACCAGGAACCCCAGGGACCCACCACTGGTGACCATGCACACAAGGGATGTGTCCCTGTGCAGCAGGTACCCTGAAAACATGTCACCAGAAATAAGGCACCCCAGGGACACATCTCCAGCCATTGGGCACCCCAGGGACACATCTCCAGCCATTGGGCACCCCAGGGACACATCTCCAGCCACCAGGCACCCCAGGGACACATCTCCAGCCACCAGGCATCCCAAAGAGGTGTCTCCAGTCACTGGCCACCAGAAGGACATGTTCTTGGACATCAGGTATCCCAAGGACTTGTCCCCAGCCACCAGCCACACCTGGAATGTGTCACTGGAGGTCAGGCACTCAAGGGACACATTCCTGGCTACCAGGTACACCAAGGACATGTCCCTGGCCACCGGGCGCCTCTCGCCGGCATTCAGTGACGGGGTCCTCACACAACAGCAGGTGGCTGAGGTCCTGGAGATGGAGCAGGACACTCCCTGCTGCAGGTACTCCCCATCCCCTGGGACACTGCCATGAGTGCTGCATCCCCTGGTGCCAGCAGTACCCCCACTGTGTCCCCACAGACCCCCGGCACCGGCCACGCCACGCTCCTTCTCCCCACCACACACCTACGGCTACATCTGCGGGCCACCGGCCTCTGAGCTAGGTGAGGAGGAGGAGGAAGAGGAGGAGGAAGAGGAGGAGGAGGAGCGTACAGCAACGAGGGGCTCGCCAGGAGGGTCGCTGCTGAACGGCTGGGGGTCTGTCTCGGAGGACAACTTTGCCAGCACCCGCTGCAGCTTGGTGAGCTCCTGCGACGGCTCCTTCCTGCTGGACGCCAGCTTCGCCCGGGCTCTGGCCGTGGCTGACGATGGCCTCTCCTACAGCCTTGAGGACACCGATGGGGCCTACGGGGGTGAGTGAAGGTCCCTGGACCCTCCCTCTGACCCTGAACGTTGTCACCTCCTCAAGGAAGATGGCTCCATTGGGACACCGTGGTGATGCCACCCGCTCTTGCCTTCTTCCCTGCAGGTCCCTCACCACCACCATCACCCCTGGAGCAGGTCTTCCCACCCGGAGTCCACTCTGCCACCTGGGACTGGTGGGCAATGCTGGAGGCCCCACAGAGAGCCAGGACAGAGGCAGCTGTGAACAGTCGCTCACAGAATGGTGCGCGGTGCCCCAGTGCCAGGGTGGTGGGCGCTGGGGGTGCTGAGGTGTTGCAGGCTGTTGGAAAATGCTTCCTTTGCTTTCCAGGTGGCCAAGGGTCAGGGATTGGCAGCCCCTGGGCCAGGGAAGGTGTTGAGCTGCGGACAGGAGGGACAGGAGCATGGCAGTCCCCAGGGCACAGGACACAGCAAGGCCAGACCCCTTGGCTCAGCTAAAATCCAGCTTTATTAGGCAGCTCCCCAAAAAGGGGCTCTTTACTAGGACAAGCTACCCACAAACGGTGGGTGGGTGGCACCTAGGTGGGTGGGTGTCCCTCCTTATTCAGCATTCTTGTCCTTCCCAAGTGTCCTCCTTCTTCCACAGTGTCCCCATCCCAAATTCCTCATTTCTTCCCAGCATCCTCATCTTCCCCAAGAGTCTGCATCCCTCTAAGTGTCCTTGTCCTCCCTCAGTGTCCTGCTCCTTCTCCAGAATCCTCATCCCACCTATCCTTCTCCAGCCCAAGCACTGTTGTCCACCCTGTGTCCACGTCTCTCCCCAGGGTTGTTGACCCCCTTGACCATCCCCATTCCCACTGACTATTCCCATTGCTCCCAACTGTCCTTGTGATCTCTGATAGTTCATGTCCTTCCTCAGCACCCTTGTCCCACCTTTTCTATCATTGTCTCTCCCAAATGTTCTCATCCCTCCCAAGCCACCTGAATGGCCTTGGGCTCCCTCTAAACGTCCTTGTCCCTCCTAATCATCCTCATTCCCAGGCTTCTCAGCCCTCCTGAGTGTCCTCATCCTTCATCAGTTGTTTTGTCCCTCATGCCAAGTGTCCCCACTGTCCTCATTCCCCTACAGCCATCCTCCTTGTCCCTTACTACCGTCCTTGTCCTTCTCAAGCAGTCTTGTTTTTCTCTTCCCCCTCAGCAATCTCCAATCCCCTGGAAATCCTTGTCCTTCCTGCATGTCCTCTTCCCTCCAGGCATCCTCGTCCCCCACCCTTCCTTGTCCCTCACCAGCACCCTCATCCATCTGCTGTGTCCTTGTCCCCCTCATGTAATCTTGTCCCCCACCAAGTGTCCCCTTCCCTTTCAATCACCTCATCCCTCTCAGACGTCCTTGTCCTTTCCCAGCATCCTTGTTCCTCCCAGCTGTCCTTGTCTCCAGGATCCTTCCCCACTTAAGCATCTTCCTCATCCCTCCCCAGCGCCCTCATCCCTCTTCTGCCTATCTGTCCCAACTGTTTCTTGTTGGGACAGATAGGCAGGGTTCACGTCCTTCCTTGAGCACCTTCCTTGTCACTCCTGTGCATCCTTGTCCCTCCCCAGGGTCCTCATTCCTTGTGAATTCCTTGCCCCACCCCAAGAATCCGTGCCCCCCCTCACTCTGACGCCCACTGGCCGCGACCTCTGTGCAGCCCTATTTCCATGGAACCACTCCGAAATTAAAGAGCATCCCTCCGTGTCCCTGTGTTCCCGTCCCCACGTCCCCCACTCTGTCACCGACTCGCCCTCCCTCTTATCGCTTCTCCTGCGGCGGGCAGGGGAGCGGGGCCCCGGGGCGGCGGCCGTGCCCGGTGCCCTCGCCGCGGTCCCCGGGGGTCCGGCTGCGCCCCGAGCCGTGCCCGCGGGAGCCGCTGGAGCCGCGGGACGAGACGCTGCCGGTGGTGGAGCAGCTGCCGGACACCTGCCCGCGGTGTCTGCCCGAGGCTCTGCTGCAGGGGCCGGCCTCATCTGCAGGGGAGGGACACGGCTGGGGCTGGGCGCGGACCGCGGCCCCGCGCGGCGCGGTGCGCGGCGCTGCCTTACCCCCGCGGGGCGGGCGCGGGCTCACCCTGCGCTCAGCCCCGCTCGGCTCCAGCCCCGCTGCGGGCCCGGGGCTCTCGCCTGGCGGCGGCAGCGGCGGCGGCGGCAGCTCTGCGGCACAGAGGGAGGAGAGGGCTCAGCCCCCCTGAGCATCCCGAACGCCCTGGGGTTTTCCTCCCGCTCACCTCCCGTCTGCTTTTCCCGGCGGTAGCGGCTGCATTTGGGCTTCAGGCGACTTTTGGAGATCACCCCGCGGGTTTTCCCTGTGGGGAGGGGGGATGGCAGCGTCAGCCCCCCACACAGCCAGTGAGGCCCTCACCCACCCAGAGTAGCCCTCGGGGCTCACCTGTGCCAGGAGGGCAGAGGGCTCGGGGTGGGTGGCCCTCGCTGGCATCCGGCGTCACCGAGGGGCTGGGTGCCTGTGGGGGGGTGCTGACACCGTGGGGGGGTCTCCTGGCAAAGAGGGGGGGAGTGAAGGGTGGGGGGAGTGGCATGGGGGCTCAGTGGCCACCACCGTGCTGGCACAAGCCCTCCGGAGCTGTGCCAGAGCCACGAGAAGCCAGTGGTATTGTCACAGCTGGGTGGCAGTGGTGGAGGTGGGCTGAAGCGCCACAGCTGGGTAGAAGAGCCACAGCTGGATCACAGCTGGGGGGCAAAGGGGAGCTGGATGAGTGCAGTGGCTCAGCCAGGGTGGAGGACCACAGCCTGGCAAGGCTGTGATAGCACAGCTGGCCTGCAGTGGCACATCTGGAGCACAGCTGGATAGAGCTGCTCAGCCGGGTTACAGCCACACAGCTGGACTGCAGTGGCACAGCTGGACCACCACACATCTGGATTGCAAGCACACTGGCAGAATGCAGCTGCACAGCTAAATCTTGACACAGGTACATCATAGCACATCTGAACTGCAGCCATGCAGCTCGGTTGCAGCTGCCCAGCTGGGTCATAGCACAGCTGGATTGCACCATGGAGCTTGATTGCAGCTGCACAGCTGGAGTGCAGTGACACACCAGCACTGTGTGGCACAGGTGGATCATGGCACAGCTGGGCACAGCTGGATGATGATGGCCCCACCTGTCTCGTGATGGTGCAGCTGTATTGCAATGCCCCAGTCACCCTCAATGTCATGGATGTGTCATGACAGCACGGCCAGAGCACAGCTGGAGAGCAGGGGTGGATGGTGGCACCATGGATGGATCACAAAGAGATGCCTGGACCATGGCAGGACATCCAGACTCCATTGGGGCATCCAAACCCCAATGGCATGGTCAGACCATGGTGGCACAGCAGGACCAGATCATGACAGAGTGGCTGGATTGTGATGGGACACCCAGGCCATGGTGGGACATCCAGAGCCTGATCCAGAGTCCAGTGGCAAGGCCAGACTGTGGTGGGACAGTGGAAGTGGATCATGTAAACATGACTGGGCATGACATCCAGAGCTCAATGGGACACCTGGAGCTCAGATGACATATCTGGACCTCAGCAGCATGGCTGGACTATGACAGCATGGCAGAGCCAAATGGTGACAAAATGGCTGGGTTGTGATGGAGCAGCTGGACCATGGGGAGGCATCTTGACCCCAACAGAACATCTGGACCCCAATGAGACACCTGGACCCTAATGACACAGTTGGACCATGATGGCATGGCAGGGCTGGGCAGTGACAACGTGGCTGGATCGCAATGGAACACCCAGGCCATGGTGGGACATCTGGACCTCGATGGGACATCCAGACCCCAATGGCACGGCCATGCCAAGCAAGGCCCATCTCCTACCGGGGCAGGAGGGAGCTATCGAAGTCGCGGAGGCGAGGGATGTCCTCGGTGGTGCGAGGTGACGGCGTCAGCGTGGCGGTGGAACGGCAGCCGGACGAGGAGGTGGGTGAGGATGCAGCAGTGGCACAGGGCATGTCCTCACCAGGGTACCACACCTCCATCCCCAACCTGCAGGGTGGAGACCACCGGGTAGCTGCTGGGGGCAGCATGCCCAGCCCCCAAGCCCCACACTCACCCTCTGGCTGCCTCTTCTTCTTCATCCTCCTCTTCCTCCTCCTTCTCCTCCTCCTGGGCACACTGGCTGAGCTCACTGGCTGAGGGCGGTGGGGGCAGCAGCTCTGTCCAGCTCACTGCCGGCGGCTTCACTGCTTGCCCCAGCTTTGCTCTGGCCCCTGTGCCAAGGAGGGATGCTGGGGGGGCTGTGGGAAGGGCACCGCACCACGAGCACCCACGTGTGCCCCCACCCTTCCGACCACCCTACCGTGCTCAGCCCGGCCACGGGGCACCTGGGAGGCTGCAGCATCCACTGGCTGGGAACCCCCGCCAGGGTAGGAGGTCCCATACTGTGAGAAGGGACGGGGGAAAGTGCAGAGCTCCTCACTGTCAACCTCGATGGTGCTGTAAACCGGCCCCTCGGCAGCCCCCGCTCCAAACTGCTCCGTCTGGGCGATGTAACGGGTGATGCCGGCATCTGCAGAGGGTGACCAGCACCATCAGGGCTGATCGTGAACCCCTCAAGAGCCACCCAGCCCCACGCTGACCCCTCACCATTGTAGTATCTCTCAGTGGACCCCAAACACCCGGCAGAACTGGCTGTGCTGCCACCACGCCACGCATCCACCAGCCACGGGTAACCACCGCCAGCAGCTGCCCTGCAGGGGGACGGGGTGAAGGAATGCTGGTGGGCAGCCCTGGGGCTCCTGGGGAGGGCAGGGGGCCGGGGGTTACCTGGGGGTGCTGCGCACTGGAGCTGGGAAGGCGACTGTGGAGAGAGACGGGGGTGAGGGCAGCGAGAGGCCGAACTGGGACCCCGCAGCGCTCGTGGGCTTACCGGTGGGCGTGTAGGCAAAGGATGCTGCAAAGAGAGGGACGGTGGGTGGCTGATGGGAGAGGGGTGAAGGGTCAGGGGTCCCAGGGGCAGCACCCCCCTGTACCGGTGAAGTGGCTGAGCTCCTTCTTCCTGCGGCGGCGGCTGTAGAGCCAGGCAGCAAAGGCGGCGAGGATGACCCAGCAAGCGCCACCGACGCCGGCAATGAAGGCTGGCTGCCTGGCCACCTCTGCCAAATGCTCAGTCAAGCTGCTCCCAGCTGCTGGCTCCACCAGGGGGGCTGCAAGTGACACGGGAAAGAGGGACACACCGACGGGGTGCCAGGGAGCCATCCCCAGCACCACAGTGTGTGACCCTATCGTGCCCCACTCACGGGTGCCAGTTGTGACAATGAGGGACTCACCGATGTGGATGGGGACAGGGGCACTGCGGGCACCCACACCAGCACTGGTGGCAGCAGCAACCTCAGCACGATAAGGGACCCCGGGGACGAGTCCCTGCAACACTGTCGCCAGCACCGTGCCCTCCACGCTCTGGTTGATGTGGAAGCGGCTCTCATTGCCCAAGCACCAAATCTGGTGGGGACCAGGAGGAAAACATGGGGAACACCCATAAGGACGCCATGACATGGTGTCATGAGTGGGCAGGGGAGCTGCCACATGCCTGCTGCTGTCCACGCTTACCCGGTAATCACGGATGACCCCATTCTGCTCTGCCAGAGGCGGTGGCTGCCATGAGATGCGGACACTGGTACCGTTCCCAGCCACACTGACAGCTCGTGGTGGGGCACTGGGGGCTGCCGGTGCAGGACACATGGGGTATCACCTCCAGCTTGTCCCCAGGGACCCTCGCTATCCCCTCCATGGCACTCACCTGCTTCAGGGGTGCGCAGAGCCCGCACAGCGCTGTCGGGACCATGGAGGTGGTGAAAATAGGGTCGGACCTTGACCTCGTAGTCCTGGCCCCGGCGCAGCCCGGTGAGCAGGGCCCCCCGCTCCCCTGGTGCCCACGCTGTCTGTGCCTCCTCCCAGCGCCCGCCGCGCTGCCGGTACAGCACCCGGTAGCCCTGAAGGAAGGGTGCCTGGTGCTCCACCTGGGGACCCGAGGGAAGGTGGGATGGGGGGATGATCGACACTGGGAGCCCTGGACCGGTAGGGAGGCTCAGCACTCACGGTCCAGGAGAGGTGGACGGTGCCCAGTGGCAGCACCACAGGTTCCTTCAGGTGCACAGCCACCTGTGCCAGCTCCTGCTGCACCTGCTCAGGGTCCAGCCCTTGCTGCGTGGGGTTGGTGTCTGCTGCAAACATGAGAGGGTGGAGGGTCCACGCATATCTCCACTGGTGTCACCAAGGGAAGGAGCCGTGGTGACAGCGCATACCCATGGGAAACTCCACTGGCATCACTGGGCAAGGATGGACCCAAAGATTTTGGGTGCACGGGCACCTCCATTGGTGTCACCAAGTGGAGATGGACCCAAGGGTGGGGGGTTTGTGGGCACCTCCACTGATGTCACTGCTGGGTCTCACCTTGGGTGCGCACAGGCTCCGAGACGCCGCTGGGGTCACTGAGCCCGTGGGCATTGACCGCCCGCACCAGGAACAGGTAGACAGTGTCAGGGACAAGGCCGGTCACTGTGTGGGTCTCACCCTCCACACCAGCTGCCACTGTCTGCCACGGGCCACCCACTGCCTGGCTGCCGGGGGACAGAGGTGACTCGTGACAGGGTGGTATCAGGCCACCACACCATCCCTGCAGCCAGAGAAAGGCTTGTGTGATACCTGAAAGCCTCCACTATGTAAGAAGTGACATCGGTGGCACCACTGTCCTCGTTCCCTTTCCAGCTCAGGGTGACACTGCTTTTGGTAACGTTGGTGACCACAGGGGTGGAAGGTGGCCCAGGGAGGAGATCGGGTGCAGGGGAAGGCAGGGAGAGGTCGGATTCATCACCTGCAGGGAGATGCATGGAGGTCTGGGGTGGCTTTGTTCCCAGTGCCACGGTGTCCCCGTTGCAGTGAGATCTCCATGACCCACCTTGTACCTCCAAGGAGATGCCCCAGCGTGTCTCGCCCGTTGGGCTGGTGGCCACACAACTGTAGAGCCCGGAGTCTCTCACCTGCAGGGGGAAGATCTCCTGCCCCATCACCCTGAGCACCCATCACCTCAGCACCCACCACACTTTGTACCAACCACCCTGAGCCCCAGCACTGGTCGCACCCACCACCCTGAGCACCCACCACGCTCTGTACCCACCACCCTGAGCCCCAGCACTGCTTGCACCCACCACCCTGAGCACCCACCAGGATTTGTACCCACCACCCTGAGCACCCACCACACTCTGTACCCACCACCCTGAGCCCCAGCACTGCTTGCACCCACCACCATGAGCATCCCTCTCCCTTTGCTCCACCCCTGGCAGCCACTGCCCCTCCCTCCCTGCAGTACCCCACGGGTGCCCCTGCCGGGGCCGGCTCACCCGGAGGCCGGTGATCTGCAGGGTGCCGTTCTCCAGCAGTCTGGCACGGGGCTGGACACCTACCAGGGCACTGCCATCCTTCAGCCACCCCACGCTGCCCGGAGGGTCGTGGGCCCCCTCCCCACAAGGCAGCCGTGCTGTGGCCCCCACTGGCAGCACCGTCCGGTTCGTGGGAAGCAGGCTGAGCACCGGCGGCTGCAGTTCAGCGGGTGCTGCAGGGACCAAATCAGGAATTGCTGGGTGGTGGGATGGGTGCCACTCATACTGAATGTGCCAGATCTCCACTGGCACTGGACTTACCCCCTGTCACCTGCAGGCCTGCCCTGGCCAGGACACTGCCGGCCACGCTGATGGCCTGGCACAGGTAGTGGCCAGCATCGCTGGGCTGGACGCTGACGATGGTCAAAGCACCACTGGGGCTCACCCAGACACGGCCAGGAGGGACTGGGGGCTGGCCCGGGAACAGCAGGGTCTGACAGGGAGTGGGATCAGTGGGGAGATGGGGGATGAGGTGAGGACAGGGTTAGGGGTGGGAATGGCAATGGGACTGGGGACAGGGATGGGATGGGATGGGATGGGATGGGATGGGATGGGATGCGATGGGATGCGATGGGATGCGATGGGATGCGATGGGATGCGATGGGATGCGATGGGATGCGATGGAGATTATGAAGGGAATGGAATGGGGACGAGGATGTTATAAAGACTGTGATGGGATGGTGATGAAGTGATGAAGACAGGCACGGATGAAGATTGGTACTGGTGTGAGGTTGAGATGGGATGAGATTGGGATGGAGATGAGATGAGGATGGAGTGGGAACTGGGATGGGCATTATGATGGAATGGAAATGGTGATGGGATTGGGATGAGGATGTGGCTATGATTGAGTGTGGGGTCAAGGATGAGGGAAGGAGACAGACCTGGCTCCCCTCCTTCTGCCAGAAGACAGCGGGTGGTGGGTTGCCCTTGCTCTGGCACTGGAAAGTCACGCTCTGGCCAGGGGTGACAGCTTGGTCGTGGGGCCCAGTGACAAGCTGGGGGGGCACTGCAGCAGTGTGGGGAGAGACAAGGGCTTGTCTGGGCACTCCACAGCACCCAAGGGTGCTCCCCAGGGCTCCCCTTACCGTGCACAGTGAGGGTGCCCGATGCCTCCGACCTGCCCACGCTGTTATCAGCCACGCAGGTGTAGGTGCCCTCATCCTCCACCTGCAGCCGCCTGATCCGCAGGGTGTTGTCTGGCAGCACCTCCCACCTGGGGGAACCCCGCGAGGCTGTGGCACCAGCAGCGTGCTGGGGCACCAGCAGGGCGTAAGGTGCCGTGGCGTGGGGGTGTAGTGAGGATGGAGGATGGGATGGGAATGTGGGATGTGATGGGTACAGCGGAAATCTGGGATGCAGGAAAATGGGAGATGTGATGGGGGTGTGAAATGTGGTGGAGATGTGGAATGTGATGGGGATGTGGGATGTGATGGGGATGTGAAATGTGGTGATGTGGGATGTGATGGGGATCTGGGATGTGATGGGGATGTGGGATGTGATGGGATGTGGGATGCAATGGGATGTGGGATGTGATGGGGATGTGGGCTGCAGTGAGGATATGGGATGTGATTGGGATTTGGGATGCAATAAGAGTGTGGGATGCAATGAGGATTTGAGTTGCAAAGGGGGATGTGGAATGTGGTGGAGATGTGACTCAATGGGAATGTGGAATGCAGTAGGGATGCAGGATGTGCTGAGGTTATGGGATGCAATTACTTGATGCCAGGTGCTCCAAGCACGCCAGGCTGGCACACACTGATGCCGCCCAGCTGCACCACAGAACCCTGGCTGGCCTTGGTGTCCCTGAGCCACCCCCCTTAACCCCAACTCACCTTCCCAGTGGCATTTCACCCTCCTCCTTGCGCCAGCGTGCCGCCGGCTGCGGATCCCCCATCACCTCGCAGGCAAACTCCGCCGTCCCCTCCACCAGCACCACCTGGTTCTGGGGCCTCTTGCCAAATGCTGGGCGCTCTGCGGGGTGACTGTCAGTCCCAGCAGGACAGGACGCCCCTCCCTGACACCCCAAACATTCAATCCCCACGTACCAAAGACCACCAGCTCGGCCGGCTCGCTGTCCCTCTCCCCCACCACGTTGGTGGCCACGCAGACATAGACGCCAGCATCGCTCTTGTGAGTGCTGGCCACCATCAGCTTCCCACCACGGATCTGCAGGGAGAACAGCTCATCCCACATCCTCATCATATCCCACATCCCCATCGCATCCCACATCCCCGTCACATCCCACATCCACACTGTATCCCATGTCCACACTGTATCCCACATCCCCATCGCATCCCACATCCCCACTGCATCCTGCCCCCCACTGCATCCCGTATCTCCATGACATCCCACGTCCTCATTGCATACTCACACATCTCCCATCCCTATCAAATTCTGCATCCCCATTGCATCCCATATCCCCACCACATCCCAAATCCTCATTGCATCTCTCATCCTGACTGCATTCTGCATCCCCACCACATCCTGCATCCCCACTGCAGCTCACAGTTGCACCCACACTGTCATCACACCCCGTGCTTCCACTGCTCCCCAAATCTCTGATGCATCCCACATCCCTATCCCATCCTACATCCCATCTCATCCCATGTCCATGACACAACTCTCTTCTGCGTCCCCCATCCCCACCACAGTCCAGATCCTCGCTGCACCCCGTCCGTGTCACACCCCCCATCACGTCCTGTGTCCCCAGGGCATTCCTCATCCCCCTCACATCCCCTTTGGCCCCTCTCACCGTCAGGCGCTCGTCCTTGTCGCTGACCCGGACTCCGTTTTTCTTCCAGGACACGCTGGGCTCGGGGTGCCCGCGGGGCGGGACGCACTCCAGCACGGCCGGTTCTCCCGCCGCCACCACCACGTCCCCTGGGGGCTGTCGGAAATCGTCCCGCAGCACTGAGGGGACACAGCGGCCTCAGCTGCCCGGCCCAGGGGGCTGAATTGCCTTTAACACACTTTCATTTATCTCCATTGATTTTACTTGATTTTCAAGTGCTTTCAAATATTTTCATTTGTTCTCATTTACTTTCATGTATTTCCAATTATATTCACATCTTTTAATTTCTTTTACCGTGCTTTCATTTATTTTCACTCCTTCACAGTAATTTTCATTTATTTTCATTTATTTCCAATTATTTCCCATTTTTTCATTATTTCTCTTCATTAATTTGCACTTATTTTTTTATTTATTTTCACTTACTTTCAGTTATTTCCACTTTCTTTAATTTCTCTCTTTTCCATGTTTTAATTTCTTTTCTGTTATTTACATTCATATTCACTTCCTTGCTTTTATTTTCATTAATTTTCACTTGTTTTCTTTTATCATTCGTTTTCACTTAGTTTCATTTATTTCCAATATTTCTCACTTCTTTGAATTTATTTTCGTTTCTTTTAACTTTATTTATTTATAATTATTTTCCTATTTTCATTTATTTTCTCCTCTTCACTTGGCAACAGAGGCCTGGGGATGTGAAAGCCCCTCATCCCACCGGAGCAGGCTGGCCTTAGGGGTGACACCAGAACCCCAAATCTCCCATCCTCCCGACCCCCTCGGGACTCACCGGCCACCTCCAGGGAAGCATTCCGGCTGGTGGCCTCCCCCAGGTAATTCCTGGCCACGCAGACATAAACCCCCTCGTCGGGCTTCCCCCGCCTGCCGTGCAGGATGCGGAGGAAGAAGAGGGAGCCGCCCGGGAGGAGCGTGCGGTGGGAGCGCGGATCCTCCCGGTCCGTCTCCACCCGCTCCCCGTCCTTGTACCACTCCATCACCGGGGCCGGCCGCCCCTCGGCCTTGCAGCTCAGCGTGGCCGGCTCCCCCCGGGACACCAGCACATCCGTGGGGTGCTCCACGATGCGGGGAGCCGTGTCCTCCAGCGGGCTGTGGGATCCTGCAGGACAGCCGGGAGGGGTGGGGAGGGTTTGGGCGCTGAGCATCCTCGGCTTGTGCGGCACTCTCCCGGCCCTGCTTTGCTTGGAAGGCACGAGGGGAGAGATGAAGTGTGGCCGGGTCCCAGCCCAGCATGTCCCAGGGTGGTGCTGAGGGGAGGGAGCAGGACCACAGGACTCAGAGCATCACAGAATTCCGAGGATCACAGGGTCACAGAATTCACAGGATCCCAGAATCACAGGATCACAGAATTCCGAGCATCACAGAATTCACAGGATCACGGAATCACAGAATCACCAGGTTGGGAGAGACTTTCAAGCTCATCGAGTCCAGCCCAGCCCCAACACCTCAGCTCAACCCTGGCACCCAGTGCCACATCCAGGCTTTGTTAAACACACCCAGGGATGGTGACTGCACCACCTCCCCGGGTAGCCATTCCAGAACTTTATCACCTTTCTGTGAAAAAACTTCTTCCTGATATCCAACCTGTATTTCCCTTGGTGCAGTTTAAGACTGGATTAGGAGGGTGTCAGGCAAGGCCAGTGGGACAAAGCAGCTTTGCTCCCAGTAATGGCCTTTTCTCAACTCAACCCTGGCACCCAGTGCCACATCCAGGCTTTGTTAAACACACCCAGGGATGGTGACTGCACCACCTCCCCGGGCAGCCATTCCAGAACTTTATCACTCTTTCTGTGAAAAAACTTCTTCCTGATATCCAACCTGTGTTTCCCTTGGTGCAGTTTAAGACTGGATCAGGAGGGTGTCAGGCAAGGCCAGTGGGACAAAGCAGCTTTGCTCCCAGTAATGGCCTTTTCCACCCAGTTTCTACCCTGATCAAATGGGGTTGGGACTAAATTCTCCCCAAAATGGGGTTTTTCCATTAGCTGCAAGTGCTGACTCTCTGTAGCAGAGCTGGTCATTCTGGGCTGCAGAAAATGCTTCATTTTAAGTTTTAAAAAGCCCCATATTGGGGTTGTGGGGCTGTTCCAGAAAAAAAACAACCCCAGTAGGGCATGGGAATTAATCGATGGCCATTAATGCCAGGATAATTAATGCTCATTAATGCTGGGGCCAGCTGGGCTGAACTGCGTGTGTCCCCAGCACCACCTGGGCTGTCTTGGTGGTTCGGTCCCCAAGTGCCACTGCTGGCCCAGTGGCACAGGCACTCACCCCTGCACGCCCAGCCACACATATGCATTACACACACGTGCATGTGTGCACACATGCTTGCACTTACCCACACACATGCACGCATGCGCATTCAGGCAGGGGTGTGCATGCCGCTGACATGCACAGATGCATGTGTGTGTGTGCGTGCATTCATGCAGGGTGTACATGCACATATGCACGCATCTGCACACATGCATGTGTTCAGGTGGGAGATGTCCTTACACACACGTGTGTGTGTTCAGGCATGCAGAGGTGCATGCACACGTGCACATCACACAGGGGTGCTCATGCACACACATGCTGCACGTGCACTGGGGCACACAGAGGGGCAGGTGGGTCCATGCACATCCATGAACATCCACACACGCTCGGGGGGGCCATGAGCTGATGCTTACCCACATTGCTGCGTGCATGCACATGCATGCACATGCACACTGTACAGACATGCAAATGCTTGCACAATGTACAGACATGCACATGCATGCACATACATGCATACTGCCCATAAATACACACATATACACACATGCACACTGCACAGACATGCACATGTATGCACACACATGCACACTGCCCATGAATGCACACATGCACACACACATGCATGCACACGCACACACACACACCCCACACACGTCTCCCACTGGCACACACCCTTCCCCTGCTCCCCCCCAGCCTGGGCAGGATGCGGGCACAGGGGCTGCAGTTTGGGGTGCCCGGGGGTTGCCATGGGGACGGGATGTGGCTGCCATGGGGACGGAAGCGATGCTGCAGGGCACTGGGTACCCCGGGGGGCACAGCGGGGACCGAGGGGGCCGCAGCTGGCCCGGTGACTAATTGGGACAAGCAGGGGGTCAGGGCAGGCCCCCTCCTGTGCCCGGCTGGCTGTGCAGGGGCAGGGGCTCCTGTGAGGTTTGGGGACACCCCCGCCCCCTCCCCAGCCACCCAGGGCCAGCTGGAGGGGGACAGAAGAGGGGAGAAGCTCAAAACTGAGTCCAAATTCAGTCAGACACCCTCTCCTTCACCCCACTCTGTCCCAGACAGGGGTGATGGAGCTGGTTTGGGGACATGGGGAGGATCAGGGCACACGGAGCTGGCTGCAGGACGCTGGGATGGTTTAGGAATGTGGAGATAGTTTGGGAACACAGAGCCAGTCCCAGTTGGTAGTCTGGGGATTGCCTTGGGGACACAGGACTGGTTTGGAGACATGGAGTCTCTCCTAGATTTGTCTGGGAGTTGGTTTGGGCACACTGGGACAGGTTTGGGACACAGGGCTGGTCCTGGTTTGGAAACTGGGCATGGATGTGGGCACATGAAGGCTGTTTGAGGACACCGAGTTGCCCCTGGTTTGGGGTCTGGGGACTGGTCTGGGGACATGGGGACAATTTGGTGTCTGTCCCAGCTCACGGTCTGGCAGCTGATGAGGAACACGGGACAGTTTGGGAACAGGGAGCTGCTTGCAGTTCAGCATTTGGGAACACGGGGCTGGTTTGGGAACACCAGGACAGTCCTGCCTGGGGGAGAGCAGGCTGGTCTCGGTTTGGGGCTGTGGAGACGATCTAAGGACACCACACCCCTCCCGGGATTTGGTCTGGGAACAGGGAGCTGGTCCCAGAATGGGGACACGGGGCCGGTGTGGGGACACTGGGTCAGTTCTGCAGCTGTGACATGGGGCAGGTCCCGGTTTGGGGACAAGGGGACAGCTTGGGAATCCAGTGTCGGTGCTGGCGGGGTCCCAGCCGGGGCTGGGGGCTGCGGGCTGCTTCCAGCATCCCGGCTGGAGCAGGAGCAGGAACTGCGGGACGGGGAAGGAGCGGGGGGCACGTACCGTTCCCGGGGCTGGGATCGGGCAGGGGCAGCGCGGCGATGGAGCGGTTGATGCCGAGCAGCAGCGAGGAGGAGTTCGAGCCTTCGGCTCCCAGCGAGTCGGCGAACAGGTTCATCTGCAGCAGCGTCTTCAGCAGGTACCGCAGCATCCTGCCCGGCTCGGCTCGGCTCGGCTGGGCTCGGCTCGGCTGGGCTCGGCTCTGCACGACACCACCCGGCAGGGCAAAGACTGGCTCAGCTTAGCCCGATCCGGCTCAGCTCGGTTCGGTTCTGCTCGGCTGGGCTCGGCTCAGTTCAGCCCAGTCCGGCTCAGTTCAACCCGGTCCGGCTCAGTTCAGCCCAGTCTGACTCAGCCCAGTCCGGCTCAGCCCGGTCCGGCTCAGCCCGATCCTGCTCAGCTCAGTTCGGCTCTGCTCGGCTGGGCTCGGCTCAGTTCAGCCCAGTCCGGCTCAGTTCAACCCGGTCCGGCTCAGTTCAACCCGGTCCGGCTCAGCCCAGTCTGACTCAGCCCGGTTCGGCTCAGCCCGATCCAGCTCAGCTCAGTTCGGCTCTGCTCGGCTGGGCTCAGGCTCAGTTCAGCCCGGTCCGGCTCAGTTCAACCCGGTCCGGTTCAGTTCAGCCCGGTCCGGCTCAGCACAGTTCGGCTCTGCTCGGCTGGGCTCAGGTTCAGTTCAGCCCGGTCCGGCTCAGCTCAGTTCGGCTCTGCTCGGCTGGGCTTGGCTCAGTTCAGCCCAGTCTCGCTCAGTTCAGCCCAGTCCAACCCGGTTCAGCCCAGTCCAGCCCGGTTCAGCCCAGTGCTGCTCAGCCCGGCTCGACTCGGCTCAGCACAGCCCGACTCAGTCCGGCTCGGCTCAGCTCAGCTCGGCTCGGCTCAGCCTGCGGCACCGCCCCCCGGGTGGGGGACGGCCAGGGCGGTGCTGGGGCGGGGTGATGCGGGTGTCCCTGCGTGCCCTCCCCGTCCCCAAGGAGCGGGATGGGGACGAAGGCGGGGGATGCCCCGTGTGGGGTGGGGGCTTCGTGGTGGAGTGGAACTGGGATGAATTTCGAGGGGGCAGAGGAAAAGGGGGGTCCTAGGGCTGGAGGGAGGAGAAGGAGGAGATGCAGCAGCTCCCTGGCTTCACCCCAAATGACGTGACCCCACATGGGGCTGCTGTCACCCCCCACTCGGGACCCCCCTCAGTGAACCCCGAAAGGCAGCACCACCCCGCAGCCCCCGGGGAAATGCGGCTGTTGGAGTGAGTGAGGGACACTGTGGGGGTGCTGGGACCACCAGCGGCCTTGAATTTGTGGGGTCAGGGGGGAAACACGGAGGAATCGGCACACGGTGCCATTGAATCCGTAAGTAGCAATTGGCCGTTTAATTACTGTGCTGGGGCTGATGTGGGAAGCAATGAGCGAGCACCCGGAGAGGGGGGGCTGGGGGAACTCATTAGGGAGGTTCATTATGGGGGGCGCTCCTGGGAGGAGCTCGCTACAGGGTTATTTTACAGGGGCACTTGGAATAGGGTAAAAGTGGGGGGAAAGGGAAGTCGGGAGTGTGGGGAAGCTGGAGGGGGCTCAGGGGAAAGGAGGAGGTGGGGAAGGGGCGGTGGGGGAGGACCAGGGGGACAGGGTATGCACATCTGGGATATTGGGAGGGAGAAGGGGCCTCATGCACATCTGCATGCACAGCAGCTGCTGAAGTGTGCCCACATGTGTTTGCACATCTGGGTCCCCAAGGGCGTTCACATCTGGAGGACACTTGGGGCACAGCTGGGGAGGGGGGAGGCTTTTCCACACACATCTGGGGCACCAAGGATCTCCAGGATGTTCACAGCTGGGAGGGCTGGGTGGTGTGGGGGATGCAGCTGCATTCAGACCAACAGCTGGAGAGGTCCCTGATGTCACAGCCCGACACACAGCTGAAGGCACAGGGATGCTCAAGCACATCTGGAGAACCAGGTGGTTTCCAGGTGTGCACATCTGGAGTTTGCACATCTGGAGAGCTTGTCCAGGCTTGCTTTTCCACACCCAGAGGTGTGCTGAGGCTGCAGACAGGTGCACATCTGACCCACGCAGCCTCAGCAGCATCCTCTGGGCTCTCCACATCCCACTGAATCTGCCAGGTGTCCGGTGGGCAATGCATTATTCATCTGTCCCTTGGAGCCAGGCACAGAGAAAGTAAATAAATATTAATTTAGTAGGAGCACAAAGCTTTTCCTCTTCTCCTGCTGACAATGTGGCAGCACAGGGATTTCTCAGTAGGATCAGAAAAAAAAAGAAAAGTATCCATGAAATAAGAGGTTTACCCAACTATTACCTGAATAATTCTATGGGATGGGAGTTGATGGCAATGCTGGAATATCTAAACATAGCATGCTGCTATGTTCCCCCATCTTCTCCTTTTGGGTCCCTCTGACCAGAGGAATGGGACACCTCCAGCATGGAACTACAGGATGGAAAAGGGTGTTAATCCGTGGAAAACCCTTGGGTCCCTTTTCATGGAGTCCTTGGAAAATGTGAGAATTTTTAATGGGAATCCTGGAGGTTTTGGGAGCCTCAGGGATTAAAGCACCTCTGTATTAATCCCACTCTGAGGCCTGAGGCTGCAGCGATGGGCTCCCAGGGGTGACACACGCTCATCCAGCACCTCCTCTGAGAGGGCTTGTGATGGAGAACGGAGACAAAGGAGCCGCCTCATCCCGATGGATAATCCCCCTCAGATTCATCCCGTTAATCAGCTGGGCAAACAGCGAGTGCGGGGGCATCGCCTCCTCGTTAGCAGATTTATTCTCACTGCCACGGCATTTAATTGCTGCTTGATTTGGCGATTAGCGGCTGTTTGCCCAGGCTTTGCCCAAATCACCCTCCTCAAAGTTTTTAGATGGGGGGAGGCTTCCTCCCTACTTTGTTATCCTCATTATTCTACATTGGTTTTGCTGCTTTCTTATTCTTCCTATTTTTCCCCAACCAACTGAGCGGCATCGGGGAGCTCGTGGTGGGGGGAAACTGAGGCACGAAGTTTGGCCATAATGAGGAGCGACAAGATATTTGTCTGGGCAAACGAGCGGCTGGGTCCCCCCTCCCCGCCGCCAGGGGGGAATCCCTGGCAGCCCCGTTATTAACATTCCCCCCGGGAGCCCCCCACCCCAAGCCAGGCGTTTGGCCGGGAAATGCAGCTTTTTGAATATTTATAGAGGTTGTGGCAGCACTTGGGGTGGGGAGGAGGGAAAGGGGAGCACGGGGGCTGCTGGGGGGGTGGGGAAAAGCAATGTTGAGGACTGGGGGTAGTGGGGATGGAGCTGGAATGGAGCTAGAATCCTTTAGCGATGACACTGGGATGGAATGGGGAATGAAACTGGGATGGTGTGGGGAATGACACTGGGATGGAGTGGGGAATGACACTGGGATGGTGTGGGGAATGACACTGGGATGGTGTGGGGAATGGCACTGGGATGGAGTGGGGAATGGCACTGGGATGGTGTGGGGAATGACAGTGGGATGGTGTGGGGAATGACACTGGGATGGAGTGGGGAATGGAGGCGTTTGGCCGGGAAATGCAGCTTTTTGAATATTTATAGAGGTTGTGGCAGCACTTGGGGTGGGGAGGAGGGAAAGGGGAGCACGGGGGCTGCTGGGGGGGTGGGGAAAAACAATGTTGAGGACTGGGGGTAGTGGGGATGGAGGGAATGGAGCTATAATCCTTTAGGGATGACACTGGGATGGAATGGGGAATGACAGTGGGATGGAGTGGGGAATGGCACTGGGATGGTGTGGGGAATGACACTGGGATGGAGTGGGGAATGGCACTGGGATGGTGTGGGGAATGACACTGGGATGGTGTGGGGGATGACACTGGGATGGAGTGGGGAATGACACTGGGATGGAGTGGGGAATGACTGGGATGGTGTAGGGGATGACACTGGGATGATGTGGGGATGACACTGGGATGGTGTGGGGAATGACTGGGATGGAGTGGGGAATGACACTGGGATGGAGTGGGGAATGGCACTGGGATGGTGTGGGGAATGACACTGGGATGATGTGGGGGATGACACTGGGATGGAGTGGGGAATGACAGTGGGATGCTGTAGGGAATGACACTGGGATGGTGTGGGGAATGGCACTGGGATGCATTAAGGGGTGGCATTGGGACGCTGTCAGGAATGACTCTGGGATACTGCAGGGCATGATGGTGGCATGCTTGAGAGGACAGTGCTGGGGTGCTTTAAGGAATGATGCCAAGATGTTTTAGGAGAACTAGTGGATATTCTAGAGGATGCAAGTAGGATTCTTTGGGAGATGATGGATACTTTCAGGAGTGACAAGACTGGGATTGTTTGAGGGATAACAGTTTGATGCTTTAAGGAAAAATGCTGAGATGTTTTAGGGGAGTATATGGGAATGACTGGGATGCTTTAGAGGATGATACTGTGTTGATTTAGAGGATCATGCTTGGATGCTTTAACAAATAATGCTAGGATGTTTTAGGGCATGGAGCTGGAGAGTTTTGGGGAGCATACTGGGATGGTGTAAGGAATGACACTGGGATGGTGTAGGGGATGACACTGGGATGGTGTGGGGGATGACACTGGGATGGTGTGGGGGATGACACTGGGATGGTGTGGGGGATGACACTGGGATGGTGTGGGGAATGACACTGGGATGGAGTGGGGAATGACACTGGGATGGAGTGGGGAATGACACTGGGATGGTGTGGGGAATGACACTGGGATGCTCTAGGGAATGGCACTGGGATGGTGTAGGGGATGACACTGGGATGGTGTGGGGATGACACTGGGGTGGAGTGGGGAATAACACTGGGGTGGAGTGGGGAATGGCACTGGGATGGAGTTGGGAATGACACTGGGATGGAGTGGGGAATGACACTGGGATGGAGTGGGGATGCCACTGGGATGGAGTGGGGAATGGTGTCAGGATGCACTCATGGATAACACTATCTAAGGGCAGTGCACTGGGATGTTTTAGGGGATAATGCTGACATGCTCTAAGGAATGATACTGGGATTTTTTTCAGCGAACAGACTGGAATGCTCTAGGGGATGATGGAGGGAGGAATTAAGGAGAAATGCTGGCATATTTTAGGGGACCTTATGGGACTTCAGGGTGTGATGTTGGGATGCTGTAGGGGAGCAAACTATCATGCTTTAGAAAATGTTACTGGGATGCTTTAGGGGATGAGTCTGGGATGCACGGAGGGATGCCAGGATGTGTTAGGGAATGATGGTAAGACACTGTGTTGCAGTACACTGGAATGCTGCAAGGAACAATGCTGGAATGCTGCAGGGGATGGTGCTGGGATGCTTTAGGGGAGTGATCCTGGCAAACTTTAGGGAAGCACACTGGAATGATTTAGAGGACACAGTGAGAGGCTTTAGGGGATGGTGCCAGGGCGTGTGATGGAGTAACGTTGGGATGTTTCAGACGAACATGCTGGCATGATCTAGGGGATGACACTGGGATGCTGTAGCGGTTGATGCCAGGATATTTTAGGGGACGGTGCCAGAACTTTTTAGCGGATGCTTTAGGAGAGCTTAGTGAGATGCTTTAGGGGATGACTGAGAAGATTTAGGGGAGCACACTGAAGTGCTTTAGGGGATGATGTCAGGGTGTGCAAAGGATAAAGCTGGGATGTTCCAGGGAAGTGCGCTGGCATGCTTTAGGGGATGCTGCTGGGATGCTTTCAGTGAGCAGATTGAGATGCTTTAGGGGATGACCCATGGAGCCTCTGTGGAACGGTGTGGGGATGCCTCAGAGGACGGCTGTCAGTCTGTCTGTCCTCTGCACCTGGCAGGCGCAGGAGGCCGGTGCGTGGAGATCTCCTCGCGGGCATCCCAGCCCGCCTCATTACCAGCGCCTTCGGAAAGCCGGAGCCCATGTGTTCTCGAGACGAGCGGCTTGGGGTATATTAACATCCCATTTCCACCTCTTTAATATAGAGTTTGTCGAGATCATTTATCAGCCGAGCCTCCCTTCAGGGCCGGGGGAAGCCGGGCAGAGCTCGGCAGCTGGGTCACGGCGAGAGGCGAGGGATGCTCGTCCCCGAAGGAAGCCGACGCCGGGTTAACAGGTAGTGGCTCATGTGCGAATCGCTAGTTTGGGACCGCCACATCATTGGGAAAGGCTTTATCAAAGCTGGGCTTAATTGGGTGGAAGGCTTGTTTGCATGGCCGCTAATGGGGGATCAGAGGGCCGGGGACCCAGCGCTGACGGCCTCACAAAGGCAAGCAATTACTTGCTTGTCTGCATTATGTATTAACCCATCTGGGGTCGGGATATTGGCTGTGAAAGGGAGACAAAGAGGGGGGCGTGCCGGTTGCCCCCGCGCCGAATTAGCCCGCCTGGGTCCCCTTTGTGCAGCGGGCAGGGCAGCTGGATCGGGATGCAGGCGCTCAGGATGCTGATGGGCACCGGCGTGCGGCAGCGGGGCGCTGCCTCGCTCGGCATCCCCGCGTCCTTCCCAATATTGCATCGAGCGTCTTTTCTCTCCTTTCATCAGTTTCCTGCCTGCGGCCACATCTCGGGATAATTACAGCTTTCGCTTTAATTAGCCACCGTCGCCACTAATAAGTTTATACTTCTTTTCAGCAGCGTATTTTGGCGGCAGGAGGTTAATTACAAGCAGGTCAGTAAATTGCAGAACACACTGCTGTGGGTCTAATGACTTGTCCGCTCGGCTTTTTGGCGGACTTTTAATTATGCCTATTGAATTGGAAGGCTGACGGGAGCGAGGCGGCGGGGGAGTGTTGGGGACCGGGGGGTGTTTCCCCACTGCTTCCCCAGGCTGCTCCCAGGAGCTGAGAGCGGCCACAACTCATTGCATGGGTGAGCCCTGACTGAGAACGGCCGCCGTTCGTTTCGCAGACGACCCCTGGCTGAGAGCACCCCAAAATCCTCGCACAGCTCAGTCTGGGCTGAAAACACAATTCTCTGCACGGGTAAGCCTTGTCTGAGAACAGGCACGAGTCGTTGCGCAGGTGAGGCTCGTTTGAGAACGGCCGCGACTCATTGCGGGGTGACCCTGGCTGAGCACCCCCAGAGCCCGTGGGGGAGCCCAGCTGAGAATAACCCCAGAACAGGGGGTGACCGTGGCTGAGCACCCCCAGAGCCCGCTCCACAGGGGAGCCCAGCTGAGAATAACCCCAGAACAGGGGGTGACCGTGGCTGAGCACCCCCAGAGCCCGCTCCACAGGGGAGCCCAGCTGAGAATAACCCCAGAACAGCCAGAACAGGGGGCGGTCCTGGCTGAGAACCGGCACAGCTCACGGCAGGGCTGAGCCGTGGCCCTGCTCCTCCCAGGGACGAGCGGAGGTGCCGCGGGTGAGCGGGGCCGGGGGCACCCCCTGTCCCCCGCTCGCCCCCCGCCCCCTCGCCATTAGCGCGCGGTCAAACGGCGCTGCCGGGACTCGGAGCTGCATCGCAATCAGCTGCTCTCGGCCGTAATGAGTGTTCAGGCCCTAATTAACCGCCGCCCTCATTTGCATCCGGCCCGCCCCCCTGCTCCCGGGCCTCTGATTGTGGGCTGGGGGTCTCGGGGGACACTGGCGGCTGGTGTGGCCGTCTGAGGGGACACCCCACATGGGGTGGGTGGCAGTGGGTGCAGCCCTCTGGGGACACTGGCTGTGGAGACATCCCTTTGGGGACACCCCAGGGAAGTGTGTGCATACCTCTGGGGGCACGGTGGCAGCAGAGACACGCCCCTGTGGTCACACCAGCAGTGCGGACTCCTGTTTTGGGACATGGTGGTGGCAAACACGTTATTCCGGGGCTGACATTGGGGACACCTCTTTGGGGACATGCTGGCAGTGGGAGCACCCCAGCTGCGTGTCCCTTCGCGGGTGTGTCACAGTGGTGACAGTGGGTGGACAGCTGGCTACAGGGACACAACCCCTCGGGGATGTGGTGGCACCGAGGACATGCCAGGGGCGGATGTGTCCCTTTGGGGACGTGCCACAGCACTGCCTTTGGGACATCCCTCGGGGGCACGCTGGCTCCTCACACCGCGGGGATGCGGTGGCAGCGGGGACATCCCCTTGGGGACATGTAGGCATTGGGGACGTGCCTTGTGGGCACTCCCTGGGGACAGCGGTGACAAAGAGCCCGGTCGGGGTGGGGGATGGAGTGTGCCCCCCCCACATCCGCAGCCTCGCCAGCCCCTAATCCCGCTAATTAGAGGGGTGTAATTACAGCGCTGATCGCGCCGTGCTGCGGGCAGGAGCGGCAGGGACAGACAGAGGCGGGGGATGTCCCCTTCCATCCTTCCCCCCCATTTGTTTAACCAACAAGGCTCTAATTAAAGCGTTTAATTAACCAACCCGGGCGGGGGTCCCCGAGGACCTCTCTAACCACCCCCCTCGGATGGAGGGGGGGTTTAGGGGGTCTGCAGAGGTGGAGTCTCCCCATGCTCGTTAGTCTTGGCTTAACGAAGAGTTGGGGCGCAGCTGGGGCGTCCCCCCGCGAGCAGCGCCCTGCCTCATCAATCACGGCCACCCTTAATTGGGGTCCCGGGGCTCCGGAGGCACCAGGGCCGGGGGCAGCGAGCGGTGAGAAAAGAGAGGTCCCCGTCCCCTTGAGTCAGCCGCAGTCCTTGGGGGATGGAGGCTCAGTGCCGGCGTTTGGGACCTCGGCAAGCCCAGAGCTCAGGGGGGCTCCACACAGGGATAGGGGTGCCCGGCCCGGGGGGCCAGCTCAGCTCCGGTACGACGGGAATGCTGCTCTCCAAGGCTGGGGGGCTGAACCCGACGTGTGGGGTGTTCGGCCGCACATTTGGGTCCTGGGGCCGGGGCAGGTCCCGGGCGGTGGCAGGGAGCGGTGGAAGGGTCCCGGCCCTGAGGGCTCTGAGGGGACCCTGCCCGGCGGGGCCCCGCCCACACAGGGCCACGCCCACTTTGTGTGGGGCTGAGGGCGTGAGCCACGCCCACCATTAGGCCACGCCCACTCACTGCACAAACAATTTACCCGCCCATTTTAGCCACGCCCACGCCCCGCCATTGACCACGCCCCTTTCCGCGGAACCACGCCCCCGCCCCGCCAGCCCTCTCCCCTTGCAGTGGCCACGCCCCCTGGCCACGCCCCGTCTGAGCGTCTCTGTCCCGCCTCCTCCGGCACCGCCCCACCCCAGCGCTGCCGGAAGTCCCGCCCCCGGCCGCCGCGCCACTTCCGCCCGCTCGGTGCGCACCCCCATCATGGCGGCGCCCTGCGGCTCCTCGCAGCTCCCAGCGGCCGAGCCACCGCTGCGCGTCCCCAAGATGGAGGTGCTGTCGCCGGGCTCGCCGGGCGCGCTCAGCGACGGCAACCCCAGCCTGTCCGACCCCTCCACGCCCAGCGGCGCCTTCGCCCTCCGTCTCCTTCTCGCCCGGCGGCGCCGCCGCCGCCGCCGCGGCCGCCGCCTGCCGCGGCATGTCCTGGACGCCGGCGGAGACCAACGCGCTGATCGCCGTGTGGGGCAACGAGCGGCTGGTGGAGGCGCGCTACCAGCAGCTGGAGGGAGCGGGCACCGTGTTCGGCAGCAAGGCGCCCGGGCCCGCCATGTACGAGCGCGTCTCCCGCGCCCTGGCCGAGCTGGGCTACGAGCGCACCCCGTCCCAGTGCCGGGAGCGCATCAAGGTACCGGGGGGGGCCGGGCCGGGCGGGAGGGTGCGCCGGGGGTCGCCGTGCCCGCCCGGCCGGGGGAGCTCCGGGAGCGCTGGGCTCGCTTCCCCGCAGAGCCGGGCGTGCTCTGCTCGCGGGGCTGCGGCAGCGTGTCCCGGGGGTGCAGTCCCCTCGGGATCTGTGCTGAGATCCTTTGGCAGCCTGTCCTTTGGCGCGTGTCCCCAGGGCTTGGCCTCTCGGGGTCTCCGTGCAGTTTTCTGCAGCGTTCTGTGGCCGTGGCACGGTTGTCCCCAGCGCTGAGCCCAGCCCTGGGGGGGTGCAGGGTGTCCCTTTCCCTGGCTCCCCGTGGTCCCATCGGTGTCTCCTGCCTGCCACGTCCTCTGGGTCCCTCCCTCGGCCCCGTAGCCCCAGCGGCACCTTTGGGACACGGGCACTGCTGCCCGGGGGTTCAGTTCCTCCCGTGTGGGCGGGCTCTGGCAGCAGGGAGGGTCATGGCATCCCAGCTGTTTGTGTCCCCTCGTGGGGACAGCCCCGCGGGATCTCTGCCCTGGGTGTCCTCCTTTGGCCCCAGTGTTGGGGGTGCTGTGGTTGGCTCTGTCCCCTCCTGTGTCCCCCAGCACCCTCTGCCCACGAGGGGCTGGCCCTGGCTGCCCCCTTGGGAAAACAGCTCCCAGTTCCCCCAGTAACAAGGGCTGGCCCTGGCTGCTCTTGCACTCCTGGCTCTGTCCTGTGCTCTGGAGTTGTTTTGCAGAGTCTGGTGGCTCAACAGGAGCGTTCTGTGGCTTCACAGACCTCTTGGTCAGCCTTGGGCTGTGTTTTCCAGAGGGGCCTTTCCAGTTCCATCATTCCCTGGGAAAACAGGGCTGGGTTTGGTGCCTGCTCTGTGCATCCTGCTTTTACACAGAGGAGACACTTGGATGGTGTGGAAATGGCTGTGGGGTTTGAGTTTGTAGATGTGGATGATGTCTGGGAGGATGATTTACACGCTCTCATCTCCTCTGGCTCTGACTCCTCCTTTCCTGACCCGTTAGGCTCCTGCAGCCACTTCAGGTGCTGTTGGAGTGAGAAATAAATGTGTTGTTACTGCAGGGGCTCAGTGGACTGGTTGTTTCTCCCTTCCTCTTCCCATCCTTTAGAAACACCTGCTAGCCAGGCTGGGCTGGGGCTGTCCAGGTGTGTACACCTGAGCTGCCTTTAATTTGCAAAATCCCTGGAATAAGGGATGCTGCAGCATCAGGAATTCTGAGAGTGAGAGATTTCCACTTTGGTCCCTGTTGACTGGAGCAGCCTGTCCTGGAAATAGATACTCAAAACAAACCCACTTTCTCTAGAAGTTTTGGGTTCTCAAAGTATTTCCCTCATGGCTGTGTGTTTGCTGCTCAGGGACCTTTTTCCCTTCAACACACCCAAATATTTTTGGAGAGGAACATTGCTGCACTGGAAAAATATCTTAGAGTCCCTCATTCTCCAGGCACTGACAGGACCAGAGCACACAGCCTCCAGCTGCACCAAAGAAAATTTAGGTTGGATATTAGGAAGAAGTTTTTTCCAGAAAGGTGATAAAGTTCTGGAATGGCTGCCCAGGGAGGTGGTGCAGTCACCATCCCTGGGGGTGTTTAACAAAGCCTGGATGTGGCACTGGGTGCCAGGGTTGGGTTGAGCTGTTGGGGCTGGGTTGGACTCAATGATCTTGAAAGTCTCTCCCAACCTGGTGTTCCTGTGAATTTTCCTGGTGGCTCTTGAGGTGCTTGTTGCTTGAATCAGCTTTTATGCAAACCTGTGAGCTTTGCCAGAGGCAGCTGCATGGTGGAAAAGTTCCTTGAGGTGGCCTGGCTTTGTCACTGGCTTTGGGCTGTGATGGGAGTCAGTGATATCGAGGCTCCCAGCCCCAGTTTTGGGGCATGCTGCAGGTTGTGAGGTGTCATCTCTCTGTCAGAACAGCCCAGCCCTGGCTGTTTGGCTTTGGGTGGTGCTGTTGCATGGAGGTGATTTTGGGAGTAGTTTGAAAGGGTTCTCCCACTTTCCCTTCAGAAGTGAGGCTTGAACACGTCTTTGCCCCTGAAATGTTCAAGCTTGGAAGAAACCACCCATCAAACAGCAGGAAAAGAGCTCAAGGCTGATATTTGTCACCAAGAGCAGCTCCTGACAGACTTGTTAGATGTTTCTAGATTGCAGAACACCGAGGTGGGCTCTCCTTGAATGCTGTAATGCTGGAAGGGAATATCTGTGGTCTGTGTTCCACCCATGAGTGTTCCTGTGCACAGCCTGGCCTCGCATCAGGCCATGTGCAGGGCAGGAACAGCTCCTTGAATGCTGCTGTCTCTGGCACCATAAACCCAAACTTTGCATATCCTGGATCCCCACAGTGAGTGCCTTCCTCAGCACAGTCATCTGGAGCAGCAGAAATGTGGCTTTTCCAAAGCCTTTGTGCTCTCAGTGGGTTTTGGCCTGGAATTGCTGGGAAATGAGTCCTTGTTGAGAGCTGTGAGCTCTCCTGGGTGTCAGGAATTTCCCTTGTTACAGGGATTACTGAGATAGGTGTGGTGGCTGTTGCCAACCCTCAGGTCCCAGTTTTTGTGAGATTCCAGGCAGGATTGGCTGCTTGACACTTCAATGATCCATCACAAACAAAAGTGGAAGGGGTCACGCATGGATTCTTCTGAGATGGAGCAGGAGGACTGTCATGTGCTGCAGGAACAAGAGGAGGGCACAGGCACCTCAGAATCCTCCACACTGAGAGCAGGACTGGGGAGATGGTGATGAGGGAGCACATGGCTGCATTGTTCCATTTATTACCCAGAATGTTCTGTGTTTCCATGATTTTGTAGGATACTTAATGCCCATCAGGGGACAGAAACTTGAGACTTTGCTGCTGGATAACAAATGGTGCTTCAAACATTCCAGGTTCAGGTGGTTTTTAAATGAATTTTAGATAAGGATGCCGTACTGCTTTCCTTGGGAACACCTGCATTCCCTGGACAGCCAAATCTTGAGTCTCAACAGCCAGTTGAGCTGGAAAGGAACAAGGCAGTTGTAAGCAGAGGGTTTTCCAGTTGTGTGGCATGGATGCATTCTCTCTTAATTCAAACAGGGTGTGCACAAAGGTCCTGATGCAGATTTTTGCCTGGCTCTCACCATCTGGATGTGCTTTTCTGCACATCAGCAGCTGGAATGAGGCTGCTGTCAGGTTGGAGCTGCTCTGGGAGGGTCTGTTTCAAATTTAGGGATTCACATGTAACTGTTCCAGCAGCTTTTCCTTTGGAAAGAGACCTTGAGTCCAACTTGGTGGCTCTGAGATTCGTGGCTTGGGTAGCCCTGCAGTTGGGAGCTGCAGGAAGAATGGAACATCTTGATTTCTGCCTGTTGCATTCCCAGAAAAGCTGTCTTGTGTGCCACAGCATCCTGTCCTTAATCCTTGCTTGTTCAGTGACACTCTCTTCTTTCATCCAGCCCTTTCCTATTCCCAATGTTCCTGAGCAAGGATTTAGCCTGGTTTTCTCTCCTGAAACTCCCACACCTTCCCACAGCAGCACGTGCAGAGCTGTCTGTGTTCAGGTTTGAGCTTAGAGCTGGGATTTTAAGGCAGGTGATGGAGTATTTGGCCAGACCCTCTCCAGCCTTGCTGGGATCCTGTGCCCTGCACTGGGTGATGCTGTTCAGCCAAGCAGCAGGAGGTTTGCTGGGACTTTAAGCATGGGAAAACGAGCCCTTGCCTTGAGCTGTGAAGCTGTGACCACAGTCCATGGGGTGCATGGAGCATGTTCCATCAGTCCATCCTCTCCAGGCACCCCAGGTGGCTGCGGGGATGGGGTGCTCTGGGGAGGCACAGGTGAGCTCAGGTGCTGCAGCTGGAGCTGTGGGAGTCAAGGGCTGTTTTCAGGCAGTAAAGGTTTGTTTTGTTTTAAAGGGATGTTCTTGAAATAATGGGCTCCAGTTGTTTCTTCAACACCAGATTTTGGGCCTTTTTTTTAAACCCGTGGGAGATTTTGTGTTTCTCTTGCTTGCATCGGTATGGAAGGTGGAATCAAAGCCTCATCCTCCTGATGGCACATTGCTCAGTTGGGCTGAGAGAGCATTTCAGGGCTGGAAATCCTCTGGCTGGAGAGCCCCTCCCCAGCAGAGACAAATCCCTTCTCAGAAGTTGCTGTTAAAACTAATTTCAGGGCGTTTTTAAAATGTCATTTCTTCGGCTACTGCAGAAATGTGAGTTCTGCTTTTATTTTGCCTTTCCCAGAGTCAGTGCCAACCCATTGATTCAAAGAGAAGCAGTTCCAACATCTTAACTCCTGCCTGCAGGAATTCCCAAGTACCACTGCCAATCCAGTCCCACTGTTGTTGGGGGTTTTTGTGTGTAGCAATTTCCTCCTCCCCCCAGATGGGTGACTGGAGGTTTTGGCTGGGTTGTGGTTGTCCACAAAAATAATTTGTTTTTCAAAAGGAATAGAAATACCTTGAAGATGCTGGTTCAGTGCTTCAGAAAGAACAAATCATAGATGGGAGTGCCACAAACCCACATGAAATGGGAAGGGATGGAAAATCACACCTGACTATCAGCTGTTGGTATCTCTTGCTTTAGGCAACACAAACATGATGGTGGTGAGGCTTGTTTGTAAGGGGGCTGTGGTTTAGGTGCTCTGTGATGTAAACACTCTGTAAACCTTGCATGGAGTTGTTTTTTAAGGCAGGAAAAGCTGCTCCAGTGAAGCTGTTTCAGAAGCAATGCTTGCTGTGGTCTAGTGTGAGCTGCTGGACATGAGAGGATTTCAGCCAGAATTCCATCCTTGGTCCAATGAGTGGAGGGGCTGTCTTTGTGGTTCAGAAATGTCAAATGATGGAGCCTTGGTGCATTTATGGCAACCTGCCAACCATCCACCTTCAAAGCAACTTTGATTTGCGCTGACAAGAAGGATGGAGAGGGACTTTCTACAAGGGCCTGAGTGGCAGAGCAAGTGGGAATGTGTTCCCAGTGACAGGGCAGGGCTAGATTGGATAGTAGGAAACAATTCTTCCCTGGG